GCCCTTAGCATTTTGTTAGGAGCTCCAAAGGATAAAAAAGCATGGCTGGTGCCAAAGGACCTTCAAGGGTCATTTGCATATGAAGTTGAAAAGAGGAACCTTAAACCAATCAATCAACAAGCATTAATTAGGTGCTCAGCTACTCCAGTTCTGCTATCCACAGGAGTAGTTATACTGTGGATCCTGCCATCCCCACAAGTATTCCAATTCCATGTTCATGTACTCTGAAATTTCTTTATCTGATCATAATTTGTTCTTTCCACCACTCCGTAGGCCTTGCTCCTCCCAAACATTCTATTCTTCTCCACTGTGCCCTCCAATCCTTCTGCCTCTCAGTATATTCCCAGGCCATCAAACCTACTCTGGATACAATGTCCTTCCTTCCAAATCTTGACCCACTAGTGAAGCAGTTCAACTCTACCCTACCTTCTGTTCCCTAAACTGCTTGCTCCCTTGTCATGTTGCACATCTCCATTATTTTTTTCTTTTTCTTTATTTCTTTTCTTTTCTTTTTTCTTTTTTTCTTTTTTTTTTTTTTGGCTAGGCAATGGGGTTAAGTGACTTGCTGAGGGTCACACAGCTAGTAAGTGTTATGTGTCTGGGGCCACATTTGAACTCAGGTCCTCCTGAATCCAGGGCCAGTGCTCTATCCACTATGCCACCTAGGTGCCCCCACATCTCCATTATTAGTACTACCACCCACCTCCTTCACTCCTACTCGTGTGCTGCTAAACAAAACTAGAGGAAATCATGATATCATGTTGAGGGAAGTCCCCCACAAAAGTTAGGCTATCTCTCCTGGTCTTTCACTGAAATAAAGGAATCCTTGGCTTCTCAATGGATTCCTTATTTCACTCACAACAACAGCTGTTATAAACTATTTCTTTTGTCTTCAAGCCTTCTACACCACTCCCTCCTACCACCCTATATCAGCTGAAGACCTTGCTTCATAATTCACCTAAAAAAAAAAGAGTCCATTTACCAAAAACTTTCTCTTACTCCCTATTCTCATCTCATATCTTTCTGACATCATCCCCCTCTATCTTTTCCTTCCTTCTGCCTCATATGCAAAAGAAATGTCATCCTTTAGGCCAACCCCTCTACATGAACCCTTGTTCCAATTCCCTACTGTCTTTTCCATTAAATTGCCCCCCTATCATCCTCATACTCTCTTTACAGTCAGTGTCTCTTATCTACTGGTTTCTTTCCTGTTGCCTACAAACACAGTCCAGTCTTCCCCACTCTTTTAAAAAACAAAACAAAGGACACCCAATAGAATCTACCATCCCTACTAGCTATCATTCTGTATCTCTCCTCCTGTTCTTAGGTAAACTCCTTGGAAAAGCCACCTGAATTGGGTACCTCCACTTTTTCTCTCTTCTCAGTCTCTTAAAACCTGATCTTTCTGACTCTGAGATCAACTCTCAGTAGGTACATTCACTTCCTCTCCTCTGATTTTAAACCATCTATGAACTGACCTTTCACCTCATCATTCAAAGGAGATTGTTTTCTTCAAAGTTACCAGGGATTTCTTTTTTTTTTAAATATCATTTATTTTATTCTGAATTTCAGATATAAAACAAGCATTTCCATTACATAGTAGAATAGAAAAATGATTGCACACAAATCTGTAAATCTATCATGTACAACTTGCTCTTCCTTTTAAATATATAATGAAGTTATGATGTAATTTTTTTCTTTTATTTTCTTCCCTCCTCTCACCACTCCACAGATGGCTACCATTAGACACAAATACGTGTGTATACATATATAGGGAAAATAATTCAAGACATACTTTTATTTATCAGTTCTTTCTCTAGATGCAGGTAGTATCTTCTTTCATAGAACCTTGGTAGTTAATTTGAGCATTTATAATGGTCAAAATGACTTAGTTGCTCAAAGTCATTCTTAAAACAGTATTGCTGTTACTAGAGACAAAGTTCTATTGATTCTGCTCATTTCACTTTTCATTATTTCGTGCAGGTTTATCCATGTTTTTCTAAGATCATCAAGTTCATCATTTTTTATAGCATAGTAGCATTGCATCATAATCACATACCAAAAACTTATTCAGCCATTCCCCAATTAACAGGCATCCCCACAATTTCCAATTCTTTGCCACCACAAGGAGAGCTGCTATAAATATTTCAGAACATATAGGTTCCTTTCCTTTTTCCCTAATCATCTTTGGAAACAGACCTAGTAGTGATGTTGCTGGATCAAAGGGTATAGGCAGTATAATTACTTAATAATAATTAATAAATAATTAAGTTTAACAATGATAAAAATGGATAATTTCAATTACATTAAATTGAAAAGGTTTTCTACAAGTAAAACAAATGTAACCAAGGTCAGAAGGAAAGCAGAAAATTGGGTTGGGGGGAATATATAGATAATATCTCAGATAAATGTCTCAAATCTCAAATATATAAAGAACTTTGTCAAATCTATAAGAATACAAGTCATTCTCCAATCGATAAATGGTCAAATAATATGAATAAGCAGTTTTCTGATGAAGATATCGTAAGAGTTTGTAGTCATATGAAAAAATGCTCTAAATCATTATTGACTAGAGAACTGCACATTAAAGCAATCTTGAAATATCATTTTATACCTTTCAGATTTGCTTAAATGATTAAAGAGGAAAATGTCAAATGTTGGAGTCTATATGGAAAAATTGGGACACTAATTTACTGTTGGTGGAACCGTGAACTGATCAAACTATTTTGGAGAGCTGTCTGGAATTATGCCCAAAGAGCTATTGAACTGCCTATGATCCTTTTGAGCTAGGGATTTCTTAATTGACAGATCTAACAGTCATTTCTCAAACCTCATGCTTCTTGACCTCTCTGCGTCTTTTCATACCAGTGCTCATCTCCCCTCCCCCTTTAGATGCTTTCTCTTCAATTGGTTTTCATTAACACTTTTTTCCATGTTTTTTCCTACCTGTCTGACCTACCCAGTCTTTTTTGGATGGATTTTCATCTATATAATGACACTGCAGATGTCCCCCAAGGTTCTGTCATGGATCCTCTTTTCTTTCTCTATATTCTCTTACTTGGTGATCTGATCCCCTTCCATGAATTTAATTATCATCTGTATGCAGATGATTCATAGATCTATATATCCAGCCCTAATTTCTTTCCTGAGCTCCAGTTCCATGTCATCCACTAACCGTTGGACATTTTAAACTGGATGATCTATTGGCATTTCAAACTCAGTTTGTCCAAAACAGAACTTGTTTATCTTTTATTCCAAATTCTTCTTCTTAATTTCCCTATTACTATACTGGGCAAGGCTAAAACACATCTATAAATCTCAGCCTGCCCTTTAAACAAAATATTTTTTCCAATTACATGTAATTTTTTTACCATTCTTTTTTTAAATTTTGAGTTCCAAAATCCCTCCCTCCCTCCCCTACCCCCTCATTAAGACAGTAAGCAATTTGATAAATGCTATGAGCAGTCACATAAAACATATTTCCATATTAGTCATATTATGAAAGAAAACGCAGACCCCCCCTAAAAAAAACAAGAAAAATAAAGTAAAGAAAAATATACTTCAATATGCATTCAGACTCCTTCAGTTCTTTTTCTGGAAGTGGATAGCATTTTTCATCATAACTCCTTTGGAATTATCTTAGACCATTGTATTGCTGAAAATAGCTAAGTCAGCCTGCCTTTCTTAAATGCATTCTACTTCCAATTTTATTCAGTCACTCAACTGGTTATTCAATGAACAAACACTTTTTACTGTAAACATCTAATATGTTTAGACTTCTTTGCTAGGAGCTGAGGGAGAGAGAATTGTTTTTGCAAATTTTTGAACAGACTTTGTCCTACAGAGCTTACAGTTAGTAGGTGGATGAGGCACAACTGTAATGGTAGGATTGTAGAAGTAGTAACTCTAAGACTTGGCAGCTGAGTGGGGCAGGTCTAAGAGTAGGATAGATCATTTATTGCTAACGAGTCTATTGAATGTAGTAGGTGATCATTAAGTAATTGTCAAATTGAATAATCAATGCTTGGTGGAAGTGTCAAATTCCAACTCAAGAAGCCCATTATTTATTACATGTTGCACTGTGCTAGGTTGGCATTGGAAATACAGAAATAATATCAGACATAGTCCTTGCCCTCAATGAGCTTATTTATTAGTAAGGGATATGAGATGTGGATATACAAAAATAATATTTAAAGGAAATCATCAGATTTATACGGCTGACTTGGCATTTCCAAATCAATTAATTAATAATAGTGTGGGGAAAAAAGCCAAAAAGAGGTCAGAGAAACTGCTCACATGGGCAGGCTCACTCATTTTGCTCTCTGAAGTCAAACGGAAGCTATAAACACTTAAAATGTCCATTGGGAGATAAGGACAAATCATTGTAACCTTTAATGAAAATGACATAATTATTGCCAAATGACAAAAAAAAATCTCTAAATATACTGAGTATAGAACTGGACCTTAGTCTTCTTTTCACATCTTTTTTATTCATCAAGGTACACTTTACAGTGAATGAAGTAGGTGCTTAATAAATGCTTAGTGAGTAAATGAATGACTTTAGCCCATCCCTGTCTAAAGTACTATATATAAACTATATATATAATATAAAACTAATATAAAACTGAACAAGGAGGACTTACGTCTACTTAAAACTTTATGGTTTATATACATATATATACATATACATGTATGAATATATATATATGTGTATATTTGTATGTATGTATGTGTGGGTGTATACACACACACACACACACACACACACACACACACACATATATAAGTTTGGGAGTCCGAAAATGGTATATATAATAGTATTTCAAGATGTACCAGGCAAAATTCTACTTGTGAAGGCTTCTCAAAAGTTAAATACCATATAGTGCTTAAAGCTTTGGGATGTCAAAAGCCAAACCAACTCTCAAGCATGAATGATGAAGGGAGAATGGGAGGACCCATTAGTAACACGATCACTGGTTCTGTTTACTGTGTGCCTGCAGAGTGTGGAAGGGGAACATCACGAGAAGGCTGTGGAGCTACTCAAGGCCGCTAAGGAAAGTGTCAAGTTGGTGGTCCGATACACACCCAAAGTGCTGGAAGAGATGGAGGCCCGCTTTGAAAAGCTCCGGACTGCCCGGCGCCGGCAGCAACAGCAGCTGCTGATTCAGCAGCAGCAGCAGCAGCAGCAGCAGCAGCAGACACAGCAAAACCACATGTCCTAGGTGAGCACCATCTTGGCTTCCTAGGCAAAGAAGGACTTCTGATACAGGATAATAAACTGTGTGGTTGGAGGGGGGAAATCCTCACCTAAGTAAAAGAACAAAATGAGTGAAAACTGGCCCCTTTGTTTGTGCATTCAGCTCATCTCTCATGTGTGGGCTACCTTCTGATAGGGAGAATACTAGTGTAGAACATTTTTATTGCTTCATTCAACAAGCATTCTTAAGCTCTTACTGTGAGTTCTTACTTACTAGGGAGTGAGATGGGGACTATATCTGTGATTTTATTGATATTGAGAAATTCAAGGGGAGGAAACTTTGTCTGGCAATGTAGTTGGCACTTTCTCTGCAATTAATGGCCTTATAGAATTGCCTAGAACACTTAGAGAGACTTGGTGACTTATCTGGGGTCGCATAGGCAGGAAATGTTGGAGGCAGGTCATCCTAACTTTGAGGCCACCTCTCTATCTGCAACTTTACTCTACGTTTCAGGTACCCAGGGTACAAAGATGAAAAATGAAACCAGCCCGGTTCTTGAGGAATTAACATTCTATGGAGTAAGAAGTGTAATATAACACAAAGATAAGTCAACACAAAATAACCCCACTTTGAAGGGGTCAGAGAAGGGAATACCAACTGCTTGATAAAAGGGAGGATTAGGAGCGGCGTTGCTCTAAATGGCTGTTTGTGTATCCTCTGGTAAATCAGTGCTTCAGCAAGAAAAATATAAGACAGTGGCATCTTCTAATGCTATGCTCAGGGTCAGTGCTGTAAGACCATCTCATTGTGCCCTTTTGATGTAGGATAAAAATAATAACAACTAGCATTTATATAACTCTTCGAGGCTTTGCAAAGCATTTGGCATAGGTAATTTCACTTGATCCCTACAACAAGCCAGCAAAGGAAATGTTATTATTATCCCAATTTTAAAAACAGGGAATCTGAGGCTCAGAGAGATTTTTAATTGCCCAAGGTCACACAGTCAGTGTCTGAGGCAGGATTTGAACTCAGGTCTTCTTGACTCCAGGTCTAGCATACTATCCTCTATGTCACTTAGAGCAGAACCCCAATTTAATGGGTCCTAGGATGGCTCTGCCTTGTGCCAAATTCTGCTTTGAAACAAGAATATTAGAGTTATTGTGGCCCAGTGAGTCACATGTATTGACAGCCAGAAGGATCATGGTGGCCATCTCTTGATCTTTTCATTTAAGAGATGAAATGGAGGCCCATAGAGACAAGTGAGTTTTTCCAGGTCACACAGAATGTAAGAGTCATGGAATTTGAACCCTTATAACTTCAAATAGAGTGCTCATCAGCCTTTGAATCAGGAAGACCTGAGTTACAATTCTGTGTCAGATCCATATAGGTTGTGTTGTAAATCCTTTGCATAAATGTATCAGTAAAAGGTAGTTTCTGGAAGGGAAAGAGAAGGAAGAGGGAAAAGGAAGGAAAGGAAAAGTAGGGGAAGGGAAAGGAAGGGAAGGGAGAGGAAGAAAAGGAAAAGGAAGGGAGGAGAAAGGAGAGAATTCATATTGATTTTCCATTCTATTTTGAAGAAATTTAAAACCAACATTTTATAAGAATCTGTGGGAAAGATTGATAAGCCACTACTGGTAGCTCTATTGTTTCCAATTTAAGGAATAAAGACCCAGTGGCTCCTAAAGTTAGAAAAGTATTCTGTAGGCAGTGTCACTTCTCCAGGAACTTTTAAGTTAATTTCAAAGCACTTTTTCAGAAGAGTCATATAAAAATAAGGGTAACAGTAAAGAAAGAGTGTTCCGATACTGGCAAATTGAAATACACGGGCATAGCGACATAACAGTAAGTTCATGCATGTCATCATATGTTTACTTTAATTTATTTAGCATTTTTGATGACATGCAAAACCACTTAACATTATCCCAACGACTGCCCCTTTGTGATAATAAATTATTTCACTGCTACTGGTTCTATATTTAAAGGTGATGTCCCTTTTAGAAATAACTTGATCCAAGTGTCTCTTTTTAAAGGATAGTGAATGTTTTAGCAAAACCACAATTTTGTCATCCAGTCATACTGATTCTACACCAATAAACTCACCAATGTGATGTAAGGGAATGAAGATTGATCTGAGAAGCTCTTGTCAATTAGCACAGCCATTCTAGAAGGCAAAAAAAGTGAACAAAATGTCTATACCATTTGACCCAGAAATTCTACTACTGGGCTTATACCCCTAATGATATCATCAACAAAAAACAAAGGCTCCATATAGACCAAAATATCTTGGCAACACTTTTTTGTGGGAACAACATAAACAAAGTTAATGCCCATCTATTGGAGAATGGCTAAGCAAATAATGGTATGTGAATAAAATGGAATACTATTATGCAGTAAGAAATAAAAAATGATGTATACAGGGAAGCATGTAAACATTTACATGAACTGATGCTAAGTGACATAAATAGACGCAAGAAAACAGTATGTACAGTGATTGCACCAATGTGAATGTAAAAGACAACTATAAAACAATGGAAAATGAATGTTGCCAAATTGCAAAGATGCTGGTCTCCAAAGAAGAGGTATTATAATATACCTCCCCCCCCACCTTTTTTGCAGAGGGGTTTATTATTATTACTGTGCCGAATTCATAAACAAGGAAATTAAAGCCAAACATCACAGAGATAGCTGATAGATTCTGAAAGGGAAACAGCTATGCATGGAATTGAAAGAGGTTAGTTGTCTCCTTTCCCCACCCAAAAGGGAGAGAATGTAAGTAAAGGAATGGTAAGTACATTCTCCTGGCACTGATAATCAGTGGAGTCGATATAAGTAGAAAACTGAAGACTCGGTTTGGGAATATGATATATAAATGGAAAGCTGGTATTGCACTTGTAGTATTTTGTATTATGAGACAGAAAGCAAGTGAGAGGAGCAAGATGAGGGGATGGTGGTAGCACAAATGTGATTGGAGTGATGTAACTGTAGAAGCTGAGAAGGTGCAGTTCAGTGCATGTGGTTGTGGATAAGAAGTCAAGTAAAAAACATGGAAGGTTTGAGGGGTGGTTGTGTTCACAGATATGGGACAATGTATATAGTGTCAGGACTTTTTTGACATTTTGTTTAATTTTGCTGAATATTTTTCTCTTTCTGTTATTTAAAAAAAGTTGTCTTATAAATGATGGTTCTTTAGTGGGGGGAGGGGAAAGTGAGTGGGAAGAAGAGAGGGACATAGGAAATCTAGGTGATGTAAAAACAAAATATATAAATAAAAATCTATTTCTTAAGAAAAGAAAAAAACTACCAAAAAAGTCCCGACTCTGCTACTCTTATGGGTCCACTCACACTAGTGTTCTGATTGGTTATGCTCTACTCCTCCATCCGCTTGCTTCATAGCTCCTTGCTTGTTTGTTTTGCCCATTCCAATAATAATGGAACTCAGAACTGCTGGTCACATAGAGTATTTATTGAGACTCTTTCATCATTGTCACTAGATTTTAGAATTGTCCGGGGAGTCAGGGTTTAGAATCCAGTAGCCTTTCCTGCTAGCAATATAGGCTTGAACAATGAGTCTCCATTCTGTACTCCAAGACTTGTTTTCCCCATAGTCCATAAATCAATGTTGTTCCTAGAGATTTTGTTGGGATACAATTGGTCTCCCTTAGGAGCAGAGACTGGATAACTATACTTTGCATAGGTTAAAATGGAGATTTATTTGAGTCATGGGTCAGAGTAGATCACTCTTGGGGTCCACTTAACCTTCCATGTTTTTTACTTGACTTCTTATCCACAACCACATGCACTGAACTGCACCTTCTCAGCTTCTACAGTTACATCACTCCAATCACATTTGTGCTACCACCATCCCCTCATCTTGCTTCTCTCACTTGCTTTCTGTCTCATAATACAAAATACTACAAGTGCAATACCAGCTTTCCATTTATATATCATATTCCCAAACCGAGTCTTCAGTTTTCTACTTATATCGACTCCACTGATTATCAGTGCCAGGAGAATGTACTTACCATTCCTTTACTTACATTCTCTCCCTTTTGGGTGGGGAAAGGAGACAACTAACCTCTTTCAATTCCATGCATAGCTGTTTCCCTTTCAGAATCTATCAGGTATCTCTGTGATGTTTGGCTTTAATTTCCTTGTTTATGAATTCGGCACAGTAATAATAATAATATCTCACAAGGTTGTAACAAAGATCAAATGAAAATAATAAATATGTAAGGGATTTGTAGGGACTAACAGGTAAGACAGTATTTTAGAAAGCTGTAGAAAAGATCAAGTCTTTCACAAAAACTCCAGCAAACATTCAGAAATGACTTTCAAAAGACAAATGACAAAGAAATCTGAGAATAAGAAGATACTTCAGTCTAGAACTGAACCAAAAAATATCAAGAGAAGGTAGAAGTGTGTAGAAGAATCAAACTAGAAAAACCAGTACCGATTCAGGTAAACATGGAAATAGCTGAGGAGAAACAGGAAAAGAATAAGCATTTATTAAGTGCCTACTATGGGCCAAGAACTATGCTAAGCACTTTACAAATATGATCTCATTTGATCCCCACAGCAACCCTGCAAGATAGGTGTTGTTATGGTCTCTATTTAAAGTTAAGAAAACTGAGGCAAACAGAGGTTAATTGACTTGCCAAGGGACCCACAGCTATTAGGTGTTAGAGGTCAAATTTGAATTCAGGAAAACCTGAATTCAAATTCCCACTGATCTATCCAATCTACCAGCTAAATGCCCATAAGCAGCTGAGGGTGGTAAGAGGGTTGTGTAGGTGGGGGTGGGGCCTCAAGGTCACATGTGACCCTCTAGGTCCTCCAGTGTGGCCCTTTGACTGCGTCCAAGTTTTACAGGAAAAATTCCTTTTATTAAGGGGATTTGTTCTGTGAAATTTGGATTCAGTCAAACGGCCGAACTTGAGGACCTAGAAGGCCACATGTGGCCTTGAGGCCACAGGTTCCCCACCCCCAGGGTTAGGGAAACCAGCTCTCTAAGTAAATTCAAAAGC